ATTTAAGTGGTAGAAATGACAAACAGTGATGAAGCAAAATATCGTACATAATCACACCAGGTTGACATTCTACTTTGCACTGCTTATATCGTGATTGCAGCATTCCCACGTGCGTGAAGTGCTTTTAACTTATGGGAAACACACGCATGTAACACCAAAAAAAACCCGCGTGTAGCAGAAGAGGCCGATTACTCGCAATTTCCTGTAGTTTTGAATTTCCCTTTTGTTTTTCAATACACGCATATGCTTTTTTTTACACGGATGCCATAAAAATTAATAGGAAAAGCATTCCTTGAAATAGGAAGCCGTCGTGTGTTTTGAGAGAAAAAGATCGTCAAGTGGTCCAAACAAAGTCAAATTTGGTCTTTAAGTTGATCATAGTACTAATCTGAAAAATTCGAAGTCCATCTCAATTTAGTAAATGTCGAAACAGCCATGTAAAGACAATAAACATCGCAACGATCGATGCAATCACAATGGTGTCAGGACTGCGGACTTCTTCGGAAGGAGAGATTACGAAGAGTCCACGCAATTTTCATGTCCCTAAAGTGCCCACAACAACTCGTTTCTACGCTACGTGTATCCACGAGTTAAAAGTGTATGTTTTTTGTCGTTTTTATCTAGTTGGTAAACCAGGACCTAAAAAATGTGGAAGTAAACCCCAGTTGTTAATTCAATGCACCGGGGAAATAATATGGAATTTTTTTTAAAGGATTTTGGGCTCCAAAGAGGTGGTGAAAGGCAACTTGAAATTGGAGGTATTTCCTTGGTGTGACTAAATTTTTATAATAAAGCTTTGGGAAAAAAAAGAGAACTGTCTATGCAAAATATCGACTTAAAACCCAAAAGAATGCTTATTGTAAACGAATTATTAGCTCATCAAAATACAAGATACGCCAATGTGCATTTTTAGTTTATAATTACCTGATAGTTCGATATAGGAACTTTGGGTTTCAAGACATACCACATCACAGTTTCACAGCAGGGAGGAGTGGTGAGAGAACCTTTGTAATGATAATAGTCTGACAGTATTAGGACCTTATCATCTTTTGGATACTTATGCAAACCGTTTCCGTTGTCTTTGCCGTTGCCATTGC